CGCCTATCGATCAGAACGTTTTGGAAATAATGAATCAGCCGGGTCCATTCCAGAGCTCCATAGCTGAGTCACTTGGTGTTTCAAGAAAAACTGTTTGCAGTGTTATATCCCACTGAACCAATATCGGATAATTTGTGAACTCTGGAGCATCTCCGGGAAGATACCAGCTGAAAACTAACGAAAAGTTTAAGGCAGTTGATGAGGCAACCTTGGCTTCGTTTATTTCTGTGAGGGAACAGTATGACGATTTCCGTGNGCATCATTTGTGAGAAGGCAATCCAACTAACATAAGGAACGCACCATCGTGACTTCAAGGCGTTTAAGAGTTGGTTTCGCTTTTGGTCATACAAAGTGAGAGATAAGCAACTACCCAAGTACATTAATTTTTAGGTTTGTGGGGAAAGTTTGGCCGTCCCACGTGATGCAGTAGACGATTTTCTATTGAGGTTACCGCAGTTGATAGTGATAATGATAATTATAGATAAGGACCCAACAATATCAAAAACGTGAAATGTACAGTACAATGGAAATACCACCTATTAAAACTATTGTTTTCTGACACTAACGCGTGCAAAGCATCCTTGGAGGTTTATTGTTGCTGTTGCTGTTTTTCAAGCCCTCTCAGTTTCATCGGATTGAGAGGACACACTACCTCACATTCACTCAATACAATACCACGAATATTGATTGATGATTGATTGATTGATGAATAGTGCGTCCTAACGGTCACTGCCCCATACTCTGAGGACTTAATAACGTGAAGATATTCTGCTTACATCTATTCAACAGTACTCACAACGCATTGTATTCGGCGGCTATTTTCGGTGATATTCCCATTCAGAAAATGATTTTGAAATGGATAATTTTTTGTCACGTTGGACAGTTACATACAGTTATCTGTTATCTCACAACTAGAACAAATAGAATATTATCATAACCGAATGCATGTCGACTTTGTCCTTAAATCTAATAAGCGTTAGCTAATTTTTATCTCTATACCTCCACCCGAAAACAATATCAAGAAGACTAGTTTGAACCTGGAAATCAATAATGCGTTGATATGCTTATAAGCATCTGCAAAATACACAAAAATCCTGTTAGAGTTATACAAGATACTTGTTACCAGACACTGTTGGTTATACATCAAACTTGTGAACGCAAAGACATGATACACATGTAGTGAAAAACAACTAAATAAAAACGGTAGTAGAGCAGTAGTGCTGTCAGGTACTACTCACACTTGTGAGTAGTTGGCATGCACCAACAAGAGGTTATTGGATTCTCACATAATTGGCGAGTAAATTGAAGGATTTCTTTTTTTACTACGGGAAATGCGCGTCTACCGGCGGACCACTCATTTAATTATCCTGTGTGTTTCTGGGAATTCTGAGGACCTGTTACAAAGGAGACATTTTGTTGTATTTATTCCAATTTGCCGACACCCTTATCGTTAGTTAGTTTATGAGAAATAACCTTTCTCATCTCGGCCTCATCATGTAGGTTTATATAAGTGGTAATAATAGTAATAGTAGTAGCAGTAATAAGTATTAATGTAGAATTTGTCAAGCATTTTTCAAGAAACCCTGAACAGATTTTGGACGTTCTTCGCTCTGGTTTTGATTAATTAACCAAGTTTTGAATTAATCTATCCTTGAGAGACCCAACATAAAATCATTGATTTCTAAGCCGAACATTCATTTAAATTATTCTTTTAAAAGGAATCAGTTTGGCATTTTTCATATGTAGAAAATAAGGAAGTGGATTAATTGATGAAGACACCCTTGAAACGCCTACACCTCCCGAGGATATTTGCTTTAATACTAAATTTTCTATCTATTCGAAATTTTTTATCCGCTAGAATTTACTCAATAATTAATTATTGTTGCATGAGAGAAGTAGACAACGTGATTCAGTTTCACAAAAGGGAACTCATCGTGTGATACAGCCAACAAAGCATGAACGAAAAAAGCTGATAAGCCTTACTGTGCAGCTGTTTCGGTCTGGATGGGTCTCAACAACAGTGAAGCAAATCCATCGACCCAACTAGACTGGGGGGGGGGGAATCAAATCTGGAATCTCACAGGAAGAATGCAAGGATGCTAGCCAATTGACCACCAGACAGCAGATAAAATCGTTTTCTGATGAGATTCAACCAGGCCGAAACTGTTGTAAAATAGTGCTTCCTAGCTTTTCAACCCATGCGTCATTTGCCAGACGCATTCATCAGATAATCAAATCCGAATCTGTCATATTTCAATAGAAATATTTTTCCCAATCACTGATTCATATGAACAAAAATGGTGTTACTATTCACGGCATGATGGTAATTATTGAAACAAATGTAAAAAGAACACAATGGCGATCGTTTCACACATAGTGTTATCAGACCACGTGGTTGATATTGAGTTCAGTTCAGTTTTTGGTAATCATTATCCATGCACTTTCGTGTGACGGTTTTAGTTGCTGTCTTATGGTCGCCCATTTGGATAGAGAGAAGGATAAGGATTGGAATGTTGAAAGCAAATTTAAGTGGAAGACTGGTGTTAGGAGTATAATGAGCAGATACATGAGTGCCGCCGTTTGCGACACACAGTCATCGGTGACCATGATCTCAGGGTCTTCATCCAGGGAGACTATCGAGACTAATATGACCCAGTCTCTTGGTTATGGTTTTCATACCCTCATGCCAGGTATGAGCTTGACCTCGCTTGATCTTTTTCCAATCGCTACCTGCCTCGGCAAACATCGCTCGCC